GAATTTCACTTAACAAAGTAAAATGAATTTCACAGTATTCGTTGTAATACACAGTGCTATCTTCCAATCATTTCTCATATTACCAGATATATGCATGTAAAATTGGAAGAAGAAGAAAAAAGAAATGTATAAGAAATAAAGAAGAGAAAAAGTACAAACAATTGAAAAAGGAGACAAGACAAAGTAAAGCATTAACTGCTTCTTTCCATAAAGCAGCAGAAAGGCACAGTATAGTCACGTACTTGTGTTATGCTGCTGTTAGTCCTTTTTAAAATTAATTTTGAGAAACAAACAGCAGTGAGACAGTTTCAAAACCAATTAATAAGATAGCTTCAATAATTAATACATTGCATATTGTTGTCTTCACAGTGGTTATTCATAGTACAAAAAGCAGACAGGATATACTGTTCAAACACTATTAGTACAAATCTTTCTTCTTATTGAATTAAGACAAAGTAGCTGTATATCTATCCTGTTTTGTATACACAGATCACAAATTGTCCTTCATTTGTATCCCTTTTGTTTAGTTTTGTCAGAGATGGGTATTCCATTGCCATTTAAATATTGTAGGTGCATGAATTCAGCAAAATAGTTCTTAAGATTAGTTGGCTCCCTGGCAGGGACTATGTCCCCTGGAGTACCAGCACCACACCCTCCCCACAGTTTGTGTTCAGTTCATTACTGCTGGGCCAGAATAAATCAGATTATCCTATCACCTGGCCAAGTAAGATATCACATACATCAGGGGTTGGAAAACTTTGGGGAAAGAAGGCAGGCCACATCTTGGTGTTGAGGGCCTCTGCTACAACTATTAAAGCCTCATGTTCTCATTAGAAGAAGCCATGGGCAGCCCTTCCGGGAGTAAGCAGGGCTGCACTCAGTAACCCTTCATCTCCAGAATCACATGGTAGGCCAGACAGACCCCATGGGCTACCATGACTTGGTGTAGCACATACGAGGAAGCAACACCTTTAACAACTGCAACTCTCAATTATCAGTTAGTATTCATCTGTTTAGAAATTACAGGTTTTTTTTTTTTTTTTGCTATCTATGATTGTACTTTTATGAGTCAATACAGCTGAGACTCAGGACCCACACATGAGGTCTGGGGCAAAGTTCATCAGGAAGATGTACGTGCTGTTGTATCAGTGTCCATTTATGCTATAGCTTCTCCCATAACCCATGATCAGGTTTGCAGGACCAGAAATCACAGGGCAAAAAAATGGGAATGGCACCACTCACAGTGATCCTTACTGATCAACTATCAAAATGCTTACCTTTGGTTTGTGTGACTTTACGCATAGTTAGAAAAGAAAGAGGACTTCTACCAAGAGAGTGAATAATTACTATCCAGCCTCTAGGTTCCTCAGCCCTCTGTGTCAGTCACTGTGGTCGGGTGATTGTGTCTAACAAAGGGAAACTACTGTTATTCTACAGCAGAGGTAAAGACAAGTGTGTGTGTAACACAACTGTCCTGAGCATTATTTTATGAACACATTTGTATGTGTGCAAATATGTTGTTTTCCATTACATCATGAGATATATTAATTTACATAAATACTGTCAATTGAAGTATTTATAGCTTATATACTGTCAATAGTATATAATTTATAACATATCAAGGACAAAAAACCACCTCATTGCAGTCTCTTCTAGGGAAAGGGCTAGTACAGGGCATTTCTATCATGCTAGGTGGAAGTATGACCTTGTTACTGTCTTTACTTGAGATCAAGTAAGGCTCAAGATATGTACAGATACCAAAACTGACAAAGGGTACATCCGTGATGGTTCATTTTATGTATTAACTTGGCCAAGTAAAATATCACATACAGCAGGGGTTGGAAAACTTTTAGGCCAAAGTTCCAAGATTTAGCCAAATATTAGTTTAGATGTTTTTGTGTAGGACTGATTGATTGTGGTGATAGGAACTGAACCCAGGGTTTTCACACTGAGCCATATCCCAGTTCCTTTTTAAAACTTTGAGGCAGGGTCTTGCTAAGTCAATAAATTACGCAGGCCTGACTTGAGCTTGAGATCCTTCTGCCTTAGTATCCTAGAATGTTGGGATTATAGGCACATGTCAGCATGCCTGGCTGCGTAGGTAGTTTTCAAATGAGATTAACCTTTAAATCCGTAGATATTTGGTAAAGCAGATTGCCTAATTTCATCAGTTGAAGGCTTAAAAGAAAAAAAGACTGATCTCTTTTGATGAAGGAGAAACTCTGTCAGGAGATCACCTTTGGACTTGAACAGCAACATCTACTATTCTGGGTCTCCACTACAGCTTAGTCTCAAGATCTTAGATTTGAACTCTTCAGTCCCATAAGCAGATCTGCTTAAATAAATCTAAAAAATCTCTGTGTGATGTGTGTGTTTCTCTACACACATGTATGCTACCGGGTTTCTCAAGAACTCTAATAGACTATCTTTTCTGAAATCTTGTATGTGTGCTTCATATTCTTGGTGACAGAAACCTTTATGTCTAAAGCCAGTATTAGGAACAATTAAACACTGATTTTGTTCCCATAGATAAAAGTAAATCATCTTTGGAACATATTGTTTTGAAAAGCAACAGAGCAGAGTTATGTAAAACAATATCCTCCATTAAATGTTCTTTTCTTGGAAATACTGAGTTCTTGGTTACATTAGTCATAGGTGCTGTGGTCTCACTCTAAGGTGAGAGAGGGCACTTTTAGGTCTGGAGGTTTGAAGTCAGTATCTTATGGTGACAGTCACTCTAAATATGTGATTTCTACATAGTGTGGTTTTAATTAGGTTGGGAGCAGTTTTTGGTTAGGATCTTAAATTGATTGGCCTAAACTTCTCCTTGGTCTCTACATGACTGTAATAAAAAGACACAGTTGGTGACTGGAAGAGCTGGCACATGAAGGAATGCAGTTTTTGTGACTTCTATGGTTGTATCCACCCGGCTTTGGCCGGCAGAGAGACACTCATCTTAGAGAGGCCCAGGGCTTTATCGGCCATCATATGGGGGATGGTTTCTTAAGCAGTCCTCCCATGACAGTATTCTCAACTGTCACAGTTGTGGTTTAATAGAATTTTATGTTCTTCAATAGAAGAGAGCAAAAACAGGAGGGATGATAGAAGGTATATGCCATACAATGACGTATCCAAACTGCATGGCTGAGTTTCCTGTGCTCTAGACAGATGTGGCCTCTTGGACAAGACTGAAGAAAGCAACTTCACACACTCCACACCCATCACCACCCAGCCTGAGCCAAACAACCCCAGGCTCTTCCAACAGTCCCCGTGCTCTCTGTGTCCTGCTCTGCCTCACATTCCGGGCAGTACTCTGCTTCTCCTAGGGCCTGGGGAGACTTCCTTGGTAGCCTGATTTAAGTCTCCCCTCCTTCCTGAGGACGACTCTGACCATTGTTGCCCTCTGTTATAGTTGCTATTAACAACTATGATCTATGGTGGCAGTCACAGCGGTCACCATATATATATATCAAGCACTTACTAGGGGCCAGTCTGTTTCAAGTGTTTACATATTAAAAAGTTCTTACACCACACATGACTTGAATAACAACACCTGCTTATAAAAACTAAGGGTTAGAAACTAACTGACTCAGGGCTGGGGAGATAGCTCAGTAGAATAAGTGTTGTTCATTCCCCAGTATCGGAAAAAGAAAGAAAGAAAGAAAGAAAGAAAGAAAGAAAGAAAGAAAGAAAGAAAGAAAGAAAGAAAGAAAGAAAAAAAGAAAGAAAGAACCTAGCCCAAGGGCACATTGGGTATCATGTGTGCTGTGGCTTGTTTCTAGATGTCCCTCCAAAGACATGTTCAGTCATAGGTGAGGAGTTTTGAAGGTGGCTGGATTAGGGTGTGGGAGGCTGGGTCAAGACTGTGATGCTGAGGTCAAAGGTGCTGGGTGTGGATGGTACCACAAAAAGTCAGGTGGCCTGGATAGAATATAAACAGAAAGAAAAAGCTGCTCCTGCTGCTGTTATTGCTATTGCTGCTGCTGCTGCTGCTGCTTGCTACCTCCTGCTTAACTGTAAACTGTTTCTCCTCTGTGATGCCCCTGTGCCACACCATCCTGCCTTAGAGGCAGTTGACTGTGGACTAAAACTTCCACAAACTGTCAGCCAAAATAAACGTTTCTTCCTTTCACTTGTATTTTGTCTCAGCAATGAGAAAATTAATGAAGACAATGTGGAAGCACGAATAGAGCCAAATCTACCTCATTCCACATGAGGCACCTCACTCAAGCAAGCGCCTGGGGGCTGATCCATGCCTCGTATCTCTGTCTTCATGTGTGGGCTGAACACTTAGTGTTTGCTGATGGCCAAGTAAAGGGCTTCAAGTTCAGCACATGGAAAATAGGGAGAGGGGCCAGGGAGGTGGGCCGAGTTATAATTGGTATACAAATGCCAGTAAGGGAATTATTACCTATTAAGTGTAAAATCTGAGGGCTGGGGGGATGGCTCAGTAGAATAAGCGCTTGCCTGGCAAGTGCAAGGGCCTGAGTTCAATCCCTGGTTCCATCGGAAAAAAAAAAAAAGTAAAATCTGAAATATAAGAATGACTCAATGTGAGTACAGTATATAATGAATTCAGTAGAATATATAACATATAATCAAATAAGCACATAAAAATTTAGAGCCAGACTAGAGAATTATACATAAACATAATCAAGCATAAATAATTCACATATGTTCTAGGTGCCTCTGAACTTCACAGGTTTCTAGTGACCAACTGCAAAGGAAGTGGGTGAGAGCATCGTCTCTGTCACGTACCTTCCGGGATGCACTGTCCAAGAACAAACTTATACCCTTTGCAGCACTTTTTCCTAAAACACAAACAAAAAGGCATTTTAAATGCAATGCTAGATTAAATATAAAATTATTTTTAGTGACTGTTTTAGAATGGAATAGCCCATTCCAGGAACAATTGAGGCACTAGGTAGGGTGAAATATTTTAAAGACACTCTGAGATTACAGGTAAAAATACCATCAAAACCATATGACCACATCTTTCCATACCAGGATTTGTTACATAACACATAAAAATCAATGCTTTGAGACTTAGAAATTATGGATCTTTCTCAGCAGCATGAACACTCCCTCTCTCTTTCCATGTGTCCTGCTTCTATTATATCTGCTCCCTTCTCCTGCAGATGAATTCACCTTCCCTTAAACACTTCTAGTAGCATGCATCAATGGCAGAGAATTAATCTGGATTCAGTGAATCTGCAGCTCTAGAGAACATACTCCAAGGCATTCCAAGACATTTTGAGTTGATGATAATATCCATATTACCATTATAAACCCTTTTTTAAATAAGGGAAATTAGATTCCTATTGTAATATCATTGTTATTTGTGTTTTGACACGTTTCCAAAGTGGATAAATTAAACACAGTCAGCCACCAGCTGGGGATTACACAATACCTGTGGCCCATCAGGCCACCTGTGAGGACAGGTCATTTGTACAGTGCAATGAGCACGGTGCACAAATTCTTCATCTGGGAAATTAGGCACCAGCTGAGACCTAAAGTAAGCTCCTACCTTCTCCAAATGATGACAACCACTGGAGACAGTGACACATGCTTGTAATCCCAGATACTCAGGGAACAGAAGCAGGAGGATCACGAGTCCAAGATGAGACTCAGACTCGTCTTGGCAATTTAAAGAGAAATTGTCTCAAAATAAAATAAAAAGAGATGGAGTTCCATCCCCACTAGTGCATAAACCATTACCACCAAAACCAACTGAAACTCTCAACCAGGTTGAATAAGGCCTTCTGTCTAAAAAAGGAATTTCATATTACTGACTTTTTTTTAAAGACACATTTATTCAGTGTCATAATCAGACTATTACATTTAGCAATCAACAGCATGGGTGCAAAAAAAAGGTCTATATTAAAACCCTTTGTTGGAATGCTTTATACTTTCCACAGAACAGAAACTAAAATAACCTGTTACACAACTAGTCACAAATACAGTCCTCTGAGTTTTTTGCCCATACACCTGAGTATTGTCTAAACCATGTCTTCTTTGTAGCAGCTAGGCCCTGCCACCACTGTGCTTGGCTGAGTTCACAAATCTGTTGTATCCTGTAGCTTCCCTGTCACTTTTCTGGCTCCCTCTCCTGCTAAGCTTTGTTTCCTGGAAGTTTTAAAACCTTCTGCCTGTGCCATAGCTACTGCTGCTGGAGCCACCATCGCCACCTTGATTTTGAGGTTTGGTAAAATATTGGCCTCCACCACCACAGGGCCCAGAGCTTCTGCCTCCAAAGTTTTCTCCCTTCGTGGGTCCAAAATTTGAAGACTTGTAATTGACAAATTCATTATAGCTTTCACTGACTCCATAATTGCTTCCATCATTACCAAATCCATTGTAGCCATCTCCACTGCCACCATATCCACCCCCACCATGGCTACCACCAAAGCCACCTCGACCACAGAAGCTTCTTCCATGACCAAAACTGTCACTGCCACCAAAACCACCTCCATGACCACCACCAAAGTTTCCAGAACCACTTTGACCTCTTTGGCTACATAAAGCACTAGCCATCTCCTGCTTGGACAGGGCCTTCTTCACTTCAGAGTTGTGGCCATTCACAGTGTGGTATTTTTGAATGATAATCTTATACAGAGTCATGGCCATGAAAGATTACAAAAACAAAGCCCCTCTTCTTTCCACTGCCTCAGTTGGTCATAATTTCAATGACTTCGATTTTTCCATGGTGCTAAAATAATCTCATAGGTGACGTTCTTCAGTATCTTCTTTAATGCCACCAACAAAAATCTTCTTCACCATTAAGTGGGCACCTGGTCTTTGAGAATCTTCTCTTGAAACATCTCTGTTTGGTTCCACAACTCTTCCATCCACTTCGTGTGGCCTTGCATTCATGGCTGCCTCCACCTCCTCCACAGTGGCATAAATGACAAACCCAAAGCCCCTGAATGCTTGGTGTTCGGGTCTCTCATTACCACACAGTCTGTGCGTGTTACCCATTGCTGAAAATGGCTCCTCAGACTCTCATCAGTTGTTTCAAAGCTCAGCCTTCTGATGAGGAGCTTCTGTAGTAGCTGTTTGGGCTCCTTGGGAGACTCTGACTTAGACATGAAGGCAGTCAGAAGAGAGACTGACGATGCTTGCTCTGCAGCATCCACCAGCAGAAAGGAATCCTGACTTATTTTTTTCAGCACATTTTAAATAACATACTTTTGCAAACTGGGATAATCTAACTATATCATCATCCAAATGAATTTGTGCGAGTTGTCTGCTTGATGAATTATTATTTATAGGAGAAATTTATACAACCTCTTCCTAAAACATAACAAATTATAAGCTATTAAATTCTTAATTTATAAATGTTACATAAAATGTACCAAAATGTCACACATTTCATAAAAATCACATTTGCAAAAGAGTTCTGAAGTCAAGATAGAGTACTACTATTTTGTTTTTCTTCTAGCAACAGTTCTCACTCACATGCAGCCCAGCTGTGGAAGAGATCTTACTTTAAAAGCATCAAAGTGGATTTTCATTATAAAAACAGTGGCATTTTGGATGCTCCCAAAAGAGCTCCCCTCCCCCATTTTCCTGTCTACACTTATTAATCCAGTATAGATTAATGTATTAATCCATCAAAATTACTGAAATAAACAACATGTGGCAGTGTCCAGAGTTTTCCTCTTAAAAATAACTTTCCAAGGCTGGGGAGATAACTCGGCCGTCTAAGGGCCTGCTTGGCAAGTGCAAGGACCCGGGTTTGATTCCTAGTGCTGCATGTTGTTCTGGCCCTGGAACTCCAGGCATGATGTGTGGGCCACTGAGACTGGGTGTGGTGGTGCATGCCTGTAATCCCAGCACTGGGGAGGCTGAGGTAGGAGGATCACTCAGTACAAGCTGCATAGGCACAGCCTATACACCGCCCCCCCCCCCCAAAAAAGGAAAAGAAGTGACTTTCCCGTGCCTTCAACCAAAATATAACCTCCCACACAAAGGGAATCCTAGGAGGGTATAAACTGGTGAAGATGATGGTTTGGAATAGAAGCGGAAGATCTACCTTTACCTTCCATGCAGCTTAAACTTGGCCTAGTTTTCCAAGGTTTAAAAAGTCCAAACTAACAGAAGGAAAAGTGTTTTTTACAGAGTACTCATTAAAATTTTATGGTATTACCTATATCATTATTTGAGGCTGTGCTACAGAAAACTACACGAGGAAGAGCAGTGCACTAGATAATTTGAAACTCAAACAGGCTCATGAGAAAGTTGGGCAGAGGGAAAAACCATATGTTTTTGATACTCAAGTCTAACACCACATTTAAACATGTGGTTCTGTTTGTCTGTTTCTATTTAAATTCTGCTGCTGCGGTATAGCCTTCAAGATGTTCCAAAGCATTTTATAAAATAGATGTGACCCTTGCACACTATCCATCCAAAGTGTAAAATTTGGGCACTGTGACCTCTTTGAGCATTTCAAGGCCTTGTGACCATCCATAGCGCAGAGCCAGAAACAATCTATGATTTGCTTTTTTACAAAATGAAATGATAATGAAGTGATTTGATATGCTTTCAAAAAGCTTTCCTGTCCAGAGAAGAGCTGAGTTTCAGGATGGGAATGCATCATTTAAATACCTGCTCAATATGAATTAACTTCTCCTTTGGGTTTTTTCTTAATTGTGTAACTGACTCTGGCTTTCTGCTCCAGGGAAATAGTGCTGAGAGCAGGGCATCAGCCTGCCGTCCCCAGAGGTCCTGGGAACACATCATTATTTTGCACATTAAACCCTCACCAATCATAATTCACTGTTTAAAATAAATAATGATATATTTCAAAATAAACACTGGTTGCATGTGTTACAACATCTCAAAGATGACTTACAACATAATTTATGTACATGAAGTTGAGACAGCCAAATGAAATCTTGTCATGCAAGCCAGGGCGCTTGTCAGGCTAACTACACACACTGCTGCACAGTTTTTATCTTTAAGAAAAACAAAGATGAGGAAAGTTCATGAGGACTCTGGGGAGGCGGTCGTTCTTAATATGCTTCACGTGCTGTAGCTTGGTTTTCCAAATGTGAATGCTTTTCTCATTTTTTGGCGGGCGGGGGGTGGGGGAAGTGGTGTTCAGGTGGTTTTTCCACAGAAAAGGCCACGTCTGGAAATCAAGGAAGCCTCTGGATATTTCCCTGGGGAGTCCCTGAGCAGGATTACATGGAAAAAAATCTCATAATAGCGCATCTAGTAATACATCTCATCAGTCAGGTGTGTGAGAACTTCTGGAGGGAAAAATCCAAATCAAGAAAGTGTAGATAAGGTCAGAGAGAGAGCTCAGTGGCATAAACATCTGCCTGGGAAGCGCGAGGTCCTGATTTGGTCCTGGTACCAATAAAAACCAAGCCAAATCAATCAAACAAAAAATACCCTGTAGATAACAGTAGCATCAGACTACTGAGAACAGTGGTGCAAACTTAGGGGGCACGGGTGGTAGCAGGCTGTTTGCTATCATTGAAGGCTCTCAAAGGCTTGCCACCACACGTTTAGGGTCAACAGAAGAGATTTCAAAAGCTGCCTACAGAATTTGGGCTCAGACAGTTTACCTTAAAAAGTCAAGTGCTACATAAATTCTTGCTGCAAATCAAAGCTTTTCCTAAGATCTGCTTGGGCTTTCTCTTGCATACCTCCCTTCTCATGTACCAGATATACAGGGTTTGCTTTTGAATGAAAAAGCTGCATTTTGGAGAGTATTTCATAGGATTTGGTGTCAAGGCATGTATGTATGTAATGGATAGAGCACTGGTTTGGGGTCTAGCAGACCTGATTTGCAATTTTGGCT